GAAGGGTGAGTAGGTGGGGAGGGCCAGGAATATGCACATGGCTAGACCTTGGAGAAGGCTGTGTGAGTTCTGGATGGGTTGGAGGGTTAGGATTCACAGTGCAGAAGAGACCTGTGGGTGGTGGCAAGTAGGGCGGGTTATGACAGAACCCTAGGTATTGGAAGGGGTCAGGGTGGCCAGAATAGGCCAGGGACTGGATGTGGGGCCAAGACTATATGCTAGAGAAGGACGTGGGAGAGCTGCCTGGGTGGAGAGGTTGGGGGTAGTGCAGAAGGGAACTGTGTATATAATGCTTTTTAAGAAATAAAAATTATATGCAAAAAAGACAGACAAAAGCTGGTTAAACGACAGATGTTATTTCAAATTACTATATAAAGCTATAACGATGGCAACAGTTTGGAACTGGAAAATATCTGCTTGCAGTTCAGCAGAAGAGAATAAATTGTAAATTAAGAGATCCATAAATTTGAGTATATGAGCACACAATTCACTTTTACAAATAATGTGAGAACGTTCCTAAAAATAATACCAACTTTTGTGTAGCCCTCAAGAATATGTATACAGTCAATAAACCACTCACAATTAGGAGAATTATTTCTAACATATATAAAAAAATAAACAGAAGAAGGCGAAGAGATGACTCTGCTAAGGGCATTCGCTGTTTCTGCAAAGACCTGGGGTTGTTTTTGAAAACCCTACATCTAGCGCTCACACATTTCTGTAACCCCGGTTCCAGTGGATATGGCAACCTCTTCTGGCCTCCATGGATACCTGCATGCATGGCACGCACACATACACATAAAAAGAAAATTAAATTTTAAAATTTTTAAACAAATAAACTAAAAAGTTTTTAAATAAATAGGACCAATTCCCTTACGTGTTCCTTTTTATTGCATCTTATCTACATATTATCCACAGAGAGACATGCTATGGTGCACATGTGGAGGTTATAGGACAGTGTGCAGGAATTAGTGCTCCTCTGCTACCTCATGAGTCTTAGGGATTGAACTCCAGTTGTCAGGCGTGGCGAAAATACCTTTATTAGTAGTCATCTTACCAGCACCAAGTGTTCTCATGAATCAGAAAAAAAAATGGGAAGGAATATAAAAAGGCAGGAGAGAGAGAGACAGAGAGAGAGAGAGAGAGAGAGAGAGAGAGAGAGAGAGAGAGAGAGAGAGAGAGAGAGAGAGAGAGAGAGANAGAGAGAGAGAGAGAGAGAGAGAGAGAGAGAGAGAGAGAGAAAGAGAGAGAGAAGAGAGGGAGGAAGGGAGAGAGACAGAGAGAGAGACAGAGAGAGAGAGAAGATGCTAACCACAGATGAGCTTGTGGATGGTGTTATTTCCATCTGTCTGCCCTGGTCACTAGTATTTTTGAGCAGCCATCAAGCTATAAATGCAAATTACAGCACAACCAGGTCAGTTCCATTAGTCACATGTAGCCACTCAGTGCTGTAGGAAGTCTTACAACCAGAGGTTACCTGTCCATTGGGGCGTGGCCTCTTACACTATTTACGCGGAAGTAGAGCATGCATCTGCTCTCTTTTGTTTGGCCAGGGGATTCAGTTTCTGATCTCGGTTCAAGCAGAGGATTCTGATTTGTGAGTCTAGCCCTGAATAAATAACCACCTATTTCTCAATTCTGAGCTAGTGTGGGATTTCTTTTAAGCGTCCCTTCTTCAACTCAGAGTTTCATCATTACTGAGAGAGATCAAGATAGAAAATTAACACCAGAATCTTACTGTGTATAATTCCACTTCTTCTATGTTACTTATTATGCTAAAGATGATGGCATAATAAACTACAGCAGGAAAAAAAAATGGAGATTTATCCAGAATGAAGATGGGACTTTTTTTTTCTTCTTTTTAAATTTTTATATTGCATTATACATTTTTCTCTGTTCCCCTGTCTTCCTCCACTCTCCCCCTTTACCCTCTCCCATGACCCCCACACTCCCAATTTACTCAGCATATCATGTCTTTTTCTCCTTCCTATTTAGATCCATGTATGTCTCTCTTAGGGTCCTCTTTGTTGTCTAGGTTCTCTGGGGTTGTGGACTGTAGGCTGGTTTTCTTTGTTTTATGTCTAAAAGCCACTTATGAGTGAGTACATATTATATTTGTTTTTCTGGGTCTGGGTTACCTCACTCAGTATGTGTTTTTCTAGATTCACCCATTTACCTGCAAATTTCAAGATGGCATTATTATTATTATTATTACTATTAATATTATTATTTACCACTGAGCAGTACTCCATTGTGTAAATATGCCACATTTTCTTTATCCATTCTTCAGAGGGGCATTTAGGTTGTTTTCAAGTTCTGGCTATTAGAAATAATGCAGCTATGAATGTAGTTGAGCACATGTCCTTGTGGTATGAATGAACTTCTTTTGGGTAATACCCAAAATTAGTATTGCTGGGTCTTGAGATAGATTGTTTCCTAATTTTCTGAGAAATCACCATACTGACTTCCAAAGCGGCTGTACAAGTTTGTACTCCCACCAGCAATGGAGGAGTATTCCCCTTACCCCACATCCTCTCCAGCATAAGCTGTCATCAGTGTTTTTGATTTTGGCCATTCTGACAGGTATAAGATGGAATCTCAGAGTTGTTTTGATTTAAATTTCTCTGATGGCTTAGGATTTTGAGTGTTTCCTTAAGTGTCTTTCAACCATTTTAGATTCATCTGTTGAGAGTTCTCTGTTTAGTTCTGTATCCCATTTTTTTTTAAAATATACAATCAGAAGTAAATAGAATGAAAAGAAACTAAGGTACCTTCAGGGTCCTCCTTCTATGCCTTCATTCCTTACATACAGATAATAAATGGGCTGAGAAATCAGAGAAACATCTCCCTTCACAATAGCCACAAATAACATAAAGTATCTTGGGGTAACTCTAACCAAACAAGTGAAAGACCTGTATGACAAGAACCATAAGTCTTTGAAGAAAAAAATTGAAGAAGACACCAGAAAATGGAAAGATCTCCCATGCTCTTGGGTAGGTAGAATAAACATAGTAAAAATGGCAATTTTTACCAAAAGCAATCTACAGATACAATGCAATGTCCATCAAAATCCTGACAAAATTATTCACAGACCTTGGAAGGACAATACTCAACTTCATAAGGAAAAACAAAAATCCATGAAGATGGGACTTTTTTTAATTTTTTTTTAAAAATTACTGCCTCCTCCCCATTTCCATTTTCCTCCCCCTCCTCCCACACATATCCCCCTCC